CCCAGCTGGAGAAGTCCCTGGGCCGCTCAGTCCGGATCTCCTCTCTTCCGCCACAGCGACTCAGTCTGTAATGTCCGCGGGGTCTTTGTTCTTGCGTCCTGCTCTCCTGGATTGGATGGGGCCTACCTGGCTCTGTGTGTGCGTTTCAGCTGGGAATCGTGGTGGTATGCGTCCAGCGCAAACTCGGACCCAGGAGCCCTGCCACTCCCTGAGAACTCGCTGTCTGGGCGCAAGGCGCGGGGGCGCTCTAGTATTTTCATTGAGTTCTATTTTATTTCATTTTTTAAATGCTGGTCATAACTTACAAGTGGACCAATACTTAAACAGAAAGCTCCAGTTTAGCAAAAGCATAGTTGTAAACAGATATTGATGACTTTCATCACAGCTAGCAAATAGATGAGCAGAATAAAAAAAAAAACTTGAAGCTACTGACCGAGATCCCAAACATCATTAGAACAAACTTTTAGTGAAGAGTTATTTTTCTTGCCTTTTAAAAGACAGACTTAGAGAAACCGAACTAAAGATTTGTAAACAGATTTAGGGACCCCATTTGGTGCATAAACCATGTCATGCTTCCTTCTTCCCAGTTTCCAGGACCATAATCAGAACAAGATAGTTCCTCAATAACTTCCTCTGCCTATGTTTAATGTTTTCCCATGAGCCACCCAGTTTTAGAGGTGACAACCACCCCTGAATAGGCACAAAAGAAGTGTCAGTAAACCAAGAAATACGAATCTAAGTTACTGTGTTAGTCACCAAAAGTCAGACTGAGATATACAATTAGAAGTAACATGAATAGGTCTCTCCATTGACCCAGTTAGACAGCATGCTTCTCTGTGTTTTGAACCCATGTTCAAGACAACAGTGGGAAAAGAACAAAAGAACCAAAATAGAGATATGAAGATGTATACAACAATCAGAGTAACTATCTGGAGTATGGCCCTCATCCATATTTTTAAAACTATATTCTAATTTTTAAGCAAAAATAAAAATAAGAACGCCATACAGTTTACTCAAACACAGGAGTCTGTTTTTTTCTATTGAATCTTAATCTTACTTAAGACTGATACAGTTTTAAATTACTAGCAGAATAGAACCAAGTACATACATTTAATTTTACTAGCAATTTGCTATTCTGTGTAACACATGATAAAACAGTTGGGGTACCACAGGGCTAGAAGTATATTTCCTGCAATAAATAATACTTAATTGTACTAGTAAGAGTCTCTTACCAAAAACTCTGGCTACAAATCCCAATGGAAACTGAGAGGCAAACAGTGTGAGGAACCAAGGGGCGGCATAAAGACTGGGGCTGATCTCATTCTCTTCAAGATGATTGTAGAGCTCTCTATGGTAGTCATGGAGGAGCCGGGACAGCTGGTACATTTGAATCTAAAGTTAATTTGGGGAAGAAAAATAAAATATTGTGCATTTTTAAGTATGCATGAAATACACTAACTTAAATTTTATTATTCTAATAAATAATAACAATCCACATATATTCGATAAGTAGTAACAGTATTATGACTTTATTTTCATTATGATTTTAAAGTTGATATTCAAGTCCCAGTTCACCCAACTGAGTTTATAAAGCAAGTCATTCTAAGTATATCTAAGTCTCTTGAGTAAGGTTTTCTATCATGATTGAGTATAATGGATATACATGGAAAAAATACTTTCCCTCTTGAAGAGGGCATTGCTTTTAGAATTTAATCTGAACTCTCCTGGTCTCAATTGTAAAGACCCTATATGTTCTGTGCAAAAGCAAAGCTTGACTCTATTTTCATGGCTCAGAATCTGATTCAATGATAGAGTTCTAACTAAGTCCCATCACACAAGCTGCATTGCTAAGATGGAATGGAGGTTAAGAATGTCCCAGGGCCAGAAGCTTGAGATGTTTCTTCTGATATCCAAGTTATTCCAGCAACATGTTTGTCATGACAAAGGTGATTAAAATAGTGCAGCTCTTTCTGAATATTTCTAGAATTAGAAGGAAAAAATATTTCATTTGGCCACTAGGTAAATTACTAGCATTTCAAAAGAGATTTTAAAGACATGTGATATCTTTAAATTCTTCTGCCTGTGACACTAAACATAAAGCAACAGTAAATAATAAACAAATCTGTGGATTGTGCATTAATTTAAACTTTTATCCACACAATAAATGGATGAGTGGTGGTTCTGTGTTCAATGATATAAGTTTGACATTTTGGTGTGACATGTAGACAATGTTTTCTGAAATCCAGAATAATTTCTTTCACAAGAAGAAATCCTTAAAACATCCCCCTTCCATAGGGAGCACTATGAAAATGTCTACAAGTAATCTAATATATTTTGAATTCAGCAATTGTTTCCTAAGTAAAAATGAGGTGACTCCTTTGGGGAAATAAATCATAAAGTACTATACATACAGCAAATTATGTTTAATTGTTATCTACACCATATACATTTGGAAATGAACCTTCCACAGAAACTATAAAAAGACGAAATCAAAGAGCCACAGCAATCTTAGCTACAAAATAAGCAGCTTATCTGAAGTCAAACATGTTTTTTTTAATGAAATTAATATCTCAATAAGTCATATTAAAAAATCATACGTTTCCCTTAGGTCATTTATAACTCATCTATCAGCAGAAGAATTAGTGTTTTGGAAACTTAAACCAAGTATAATTAGCAGAGAAAAAATAAAGGCATCCTAATTTTCTTGGACAATTGTGATCATAACAAAGAAGCAATAGTGTTTAGTATTTTTTTAAAGGATCTTACTTTACACCTCCCTCCCAACACCCATCTTCTAAGCTTGGGACTGAGGACATTTCTTCCATCAAGGTCTATTTGGGCAGATGAAGGAAAAAACATTCACGCTTCCTTTAAGGGAAGCTTTAATAATAAAATCCTATTTGTTAAAAATGAGTGATCTCCAATTATTCTTTATCAGTAACATGGTAAATCTCCAGATGGAAGAGACAGAAGTCAAGGAAGATGCAGAGATGAGAAGGGAGGAGAACAGAAGATGGGGAAAGAGAAGACCAATGAGGTCAGAGGGATCAGAAGACCCAAAACATGATAAAACATAAATATCTGAAGTTGATAGGGAACTTAACCTCATTTTACAGATAAGGTAAATGAAAGAGAAAGTCTGGAGTATGCAAGCTCCCCACTAGCGAAACAAGAAATCCAACAAGGAATCCTATCAAGAAAATCCAAGCCCAGTGGAATAGGCATTTATGCACACTTTTGAAAGTTGTATTGATTGGAACAAAATACTAATTTCTTATTCTGGAAATGAAAAGGGTTTATATCTCACTTTATAAAAAATGAAGATCTATCTACTCTCTTAAAATAAGGTCCCATAAGATCTCTTTTTGTCTATGATATAATCAAACACTATTCACAGGTACTTTTCCATTCTTTGGAAATGAAATTATTTTCAGTACTGGGGATTGAAGCGAGGATGTTCACTCTGAGCTGATTCTCTAGCATCTCCCCCTTTTTATCTTTAGACAAAGTCTTCCTAAGTCTCTACGTTGCCCAGAATAAGCTTGAACTTGTGATTCTCCCACTTCAGCCTCCCAAAATGCTGGGATTACAGGCGTGCACCACCAGGTCTGGCTCCCATTCTTTGAAATTCTAATGACAGCGATGAAATTATTGCTTCTGAAAACCAGAGTTAAGTCCTTACAATGATGCCAATGAAATACAAGCAAATTTTTTAGGAAAAAAGTTAAAGATAAAACATTCCATAGTCATAATCTGAGCTGTTAACAGACCAGTGAATACTCATCAGCTAGCTACCAAATCACTGCAATTATGTATCCTGTGGAACACGCCCTGTGCATTCCTAAGCAAACTAAAACATACCCATAAGATATTAACTCCAAACTCCTTTCATTGTGAACTGCAACTCAGAAGAAGGCTGGTTGCTGGTAAGAGCTTCCTGAGTTCCTCACGAAAAGCCATCCCCTCACCTGGAGTGACGTCATGTCCGGTCTGTACTGCTTGCGGAAGCCTAGGTCATACATGAGGAATTTCAGCATTTCAAAGGCTTGCTCTTCACTCATGTGCAGAAGCAGGACTCCAGCCACAAAACTGATTCCTTGACAGTAGCCCACTTCTTTGTCCAACAAAGAATACGCTTTCAGAAGGTTAAAAAGAGATAGCTGCCCTGCCCCAAGCTGTACTGAAAAGTAAGGGTGAGTAGGAAATGTCCTTCCTGCAAAGGAAAAGTACAGAAAAGTTTTTTCAGATGCTTTGATGCTTTGGAGATCAGAGTGAAAACACAATTCATGCAATTCAGTGAGCTCTAGGAATAAGTAAACACTTTCTCCCAAATGAGTAATTTGAGTAAGTGTTACTTGGAGTATCCATTTAAGAGTTAATCAAACAATCTCTCTCTAGCTCGAGCTCTAGCTTATCAACTCTTAGATGCCAGGTTACTACCCTAACTCCACATATATGATACAAGGGCAAATAATTTTTGCTAGTCAATACTTCTTCCTAGCAAAACAATAAAATAGAATCCACAAACATATCCAGGAGAGATCATAGGAGATTAGAACATAAAATTTATCCTGACTATAGTTCAAGGCAAGTTTTAAATTCATACAAAGAACACCCTCTAACTGAAATCAGAATTCTATCAGAGGTACCATGTGGTTTAAAAAGTCTTGGTTGTCCATAAAGACATTTATCCCTGCTTTTCTTATAATATGACTGGAAAGACTTTCTAGTTTTTGTTTTGCTTTGTGTTGAGTCTATCATTTAGGAAATATTCTTTTCCAAATATCTTCTGGTGTCAGCTCCTTAAAATACTTCCATAAACCATGCAGACCCCTTTTCTTTTCTGAACATATCCCAAAAGGTCATATATATGTCCAATGAGAGCAAGGAAAGTAAAAAGTTGAGCTGATTTCAAATAAATTCCCCTGTAAAATTTACCTCTGAGTATAAAGTTACAAGAGAGATGCCAGCTAGCAAATGAACTCAGTCCTGCATTCCTGAAAAGCTGGCACTGAACACTGAAACAGAGCAGGCTTCTCCACCACGGCTATATATACTGGTCTGGGACTTCCTTCGTAGCACACATCAAATGACTATGAAATGATTGCTCGTGTCGGTTAGAATTTGCAAGAATGCCAAATTTTAAAATGTTTTCTACCACATATGCTTGAAAGTGATTTTTTTTTCCAGGAACTGATAAGATTAAGTGTGCAGAGTAAGGGAAAGAAATAAGAAAAATAACAAGAATATGCTGCAGAAACACAGATGGCTACAAAAGAAGTGAACTAAGCAATTTTTTAAAGTATCATTTTACTTTCTATCTTAAAAGTTTTGCTAAAGAAAGCTATAAATCCACTGCCTATCCAAGAAATTGAGTCTAGCTCCATTTCTGCCTCACTGACCTGTCCCTGAAAATTGATCTCATCATCTGTTATTACTAGGAGATGTGGGTTAATCCTGATTGCAACCCCTCAGTCGTGGTTGTAAACACTGACTTATGGTCATGAATCTACAACAATGCAAGGGACACTAGGAACTGATTAGTCTGGAGTCCCCACCTAACAGAGAAGGTTAAGAGGCAGAAGCAAAGCAATTCATCTCAGACCACAGTTAGTGGGAAAATCAGGACAAGAACTCTGGTGTTCAGTTTCTCTATAAAATTTCCATTTTAATTCTAGTGGGCCCAGAAAGGATTTAATTGAGCTAGGCTCTTTCCCAACAAAAGCCACTTGCTATCCAAAATGAACAGAAGTACAAACTCAGGTTTGGTCAGTGATATTTTTATAAATCCTAACATAAGATTATGCCAAATCTAAAGCAATCCCCCATTTCCCCTTAGGGCTTAAGTAACGTATCGAGCCATTTGAAACGTATCACAACTTTCAGTACTCATGAAATAGTCAAATAACAACATGTAGGTATTTTAAAATAATAAAGTATATATGATAATATGTTAGAGAAAAATAGACAATATGATTGTTTAAACTATTCCAGTCTTATTTTCCATAAGTTATATGAAATTCAGCATTACAAAGACTGCTTTATTTGCTGAAACTGGAAATCCTCCCCCAGGTAGAAGTACTCATTCATCAGCAGTGAGACAGGCAGTGTTTATGATTTCCACAACATTACCATTTATTGTATTGCTTTTTTTCTGGGGTCTAAAAAGTGACCCCCTCCTTTCTTTTTGTAGAGAGTGGGCTAGGTCCACCTGGCACTGGTGACATGTACATCTGTACGCTTCCCAGAAGCACCCAACCACTCCTGGAGCCAGAGGTAGGCAACTATTGTATCACTCATGAAAAGCTAGCTAAAGGTTTGCTTTTATCAATATGTGCAAGAATTCTTAATACATCTTTGTTCAAGTTTCTGGTCCATTTTACCCATTTTAACTTATCCCAATATCAGCACTGATTAAGACATAGTTGTCCATCCCAAACAAAAGTCATTTGTTCAAAATACAGTATCTGAGCACCCCATAATATGACCTTCATAGTGAGGCAGTTATAAGACAATTCTTTTTTCAGAAAGTTTTGGGGTGAAAACTTCATTTTATACTCAGGCATCTGTGTGCCTTCAATCAGATAGAAGGCCAGCAGCTCTGCAGTTACCCACAGATCCTCTCCTCATTGCCACCCAACAAAAACAAAACACTTGTTTACTTGCGTCAGTGATAGTCAAGGACAGACATACCCAAATCCACAAGAATCGCATGCTGCTGAGCAGTGAGCTGCTTTAGGAGTTCCTTGTAGGATGTGTCAGGAGGTTGGTGCTTATTAGGCAGTCTGTGTCTCAGACGGTATTGTAAAGCTAGGAACTGCCAAATTTCTCCTCGTCGACTTTTGGGAACTCCTACAATCAAAGAGATTAAAAACAAAGCAAAGAAAAAGAAAAAAAAGAGAGAGCAAGACCTTGAGCCCCAGAATAAAGCTGCTAAGTTGTAGCTGTGAACTATGTACTATCCTGCATACCATCCCCAGGTCACACAGTACAATGTCCAAGTTTAATTCTATGGCTCCTGACATCTTGTGAATGAAAGCCTCCAAATAATGATAATAATAACAGCCATGTTAGCAATAACATCAACCAACAGAGACTGACCACTTAAGAAAAGACTTATTAAGATTTTTTTTCACTACTGAGCATTGTCATTCACAAAGAGGAAAATGCTATGAGGTAGCCAATTACTAGTAGTACCACTTTACAGATGGGAAAGTTGTTGCAGAAAAACATGAAGTGGTTTGCACAGGTTCACCCAGCTAGTAAGTGGTAGTATAGAATCAGAACTCCAAAAGTCTGGTTGCAGAAGCCAAATCCTGAAATCTCAAAATTTATTACTGCCTAACGTTACCTTTCATTTGGCTTGAAGACAGCAACAAATGCTAATCCTCACATTATAATTTCTAAGTGTTTGTCATCCGTAAGTAATTTTGTAAAAAGACTACTTAAAAACCATTCCTATATGGTCATAAAAGGATAAGATAATAAAAGCAGTAAACACAGAAAGAAGGGATAACTGAAGCATTCCAAAACTGCATTCAGCCATTATAAAGAAATACTTGGCACTTATAATGAAATATTAACTCTACTAAGCTTAAAATTCAAGCATATCAGTTGAAAGTATGCTAAAACTATGTTTTTATGTGAACAGACAGGAAGTAGGTGGGAAGGACAAAAATTTAATCCTACATTGTATAGATAACTTTGTTTTACTCACTAAGAGTTTTCAGTTCATTAAACAGGGGCCGAACAGGTTCATTACTGCAGCTGGTTAAAGGAAGGTTTAAAGGCAGTAATCTTTTCTGACTGCAATCCTAGTGTTTGCAAAATGTAAAAGTATTACTGCCCAGCAGGTAAAGCTGAGGCTTGACCTAATGTATAAACCTCCCACCACAATACAGGTCTCCTTGCCTTTGCTAGCCTCATTCTCTGCTGTATTCCAAATACTGTGGTTATTTTCACTTCTCAAATTTCTTGCTCCTGCTGTGGTTGCCTTTCTGGAATTCCAAGCTCTCCCATTTTATGGCCCAGACTATTATTATTCATCTTTTATGGATAAGCCTGAGCGCTACCTTTTCTGCTGAAATGTTCACTATCACCTCTAAGAAGAATCCTTTTTCACATACAATTTGATGCCTATTGTAATATTGCCATGGTGGCTTACATTTGACTCTAGACTGTATGCTTGTCTATCTTCCCCACTGTGGATGTTGAGTTCCTTGGAAACAGAGAGCACACTTTCATCTCTGAAGGATGAAATCCAAGAATATATCTTGCTGCTTAAAAGTTTGTTGAATTAGTGAATGAATAACAGCAGATAAAATGTCACTTTTACAGAATAACTTTCATTAGCCAATTAATAAATCATTGTTAATTTGAGTGGGCTGTTTCACTACCTATGCAACAACAATTGTACAAAAAGTTAACTCATGTTAATTAAATAAACATTAATTGGGCCTCCAGTATGTAATGGAGCACCGAGATGGTACCGAGGCTATCTTGTCTCAGAGAGATGCATAAATCCATTTTCAGGAAAATCAGTCTAATTCATCCACCCACCCACCCACCCACCCATCCATCCACCCATCCATGCATCCATCCAACAAATAACTTGTGCAACATACTACCTTGGTAGCTAGCTGTGCAGTAGTAGAGCAAGAAAAACACTAAAAAATATACACATCAATATAATATTACAAATTAGGATAAGTACAATTGATTGTGAGAACGAGTGACAAAGCAAAACCTATTTATTTTGCTTGTGAGGACCAGGGATGGTGCTCTGAGGAAATAATAGAATTTGAACTGAGACCTATGAGAGAACAGAATTTTCTAGGCTGAGTGTCGGCAACAATCACTTCAGGAAGAGGGTTTTGTGAAGAACCTAAGAGGCACAGAGGGAAGGGAGAGAAAAAGAGGAGTAAGAAGCAGAGGGAATGGAAAAGAAGAGAAACAGCACGAAGGGAGAGAGGTAAGGAAGGAAGAAGCATCAAAGGAGGGCTGGAACACTCCAGCGAAGAACTACCCTGGGGCACAGTGGCACCCAAAGTAGTTCAAAGTACAAAGCTGAAGCAGAAATGTGATCAGAGAGATGGAAGGAGAGATCAGGGAGGCCTTGCGCGCATGTGAGAAGGTTAAACTGTACCTATAAGGAAAAGGAACATGAGCACCCCTAAAACATCTGTAAAAGTCAAACCAAAGAGTGGCGACACCTGCAGCTCACACACATTTCATTGGTCACTATTTTCTCTCCCAAATAACGCATTCAACAAAAATCTTTAGGATTTCCAAATATTTGAAGAGAAAGAACAAGATATCGGGCTTGTAAACATGGCATCTGACATAATAAATCAACAGCTTACCCATTATCACAGGCTTTTGAAACAAAATTATCAGATTTCTTTGGGTATTTTGCAATTTTTACTCTATACCCAGCTTATGCAAACCATGGGAGACTCTCATTTTAATTTCTTAAATCTGGGTCACATAAATTCCACACAAAAGATTCATATTTTTGTTTCCATTTTAAATTTTAAATGTTTAAATATCAAGCATTTAAGTGTCAGATAATAACACAAGAGTAAATACAATATAGTGACTATATAAAAATGGTTTTTCCAAAGTAAATGAAGGCAGAAGAAGATAGAGGGGAAAAATGATGCATCAGGTAATTCTGTATATGTAAATACATGTGGATATATGTACACATTCATATAAATATATAGAATCTAAATATGCACTTCTGACAAAATGATAGAAATGAATCAAGCTTGTAAGTACAAACTATTTTCATGGCAGTGATCAAAGATTTGTACCAAGCCATGCAGTTCTTCCTTGGTAAAAGCAGAAAACAGCTGGCTGAAGCAGGCAGGAGGGTCTGCAGAAAAGGGGTCTGCCACCTCTTCAGGAACTGTATCTCCACCAGCACCATTAGCAACCACATCACCAAAACACACCCAGAAACAAATTACTTTCCTTCTTTTTACAAGCAAAAACACATGACAAAATTGTCTGAGCTGCAAAAAACCAATGAATTCTCTGAAATTTTTTCTGAAAAAGAAAATTATTGAAATCTTCATGAATACCTTCTTTGAGAGTAATATGAATATCTTCCATATCACATCTGATTTTTGCTCTGCAGTTTAACAACTTCTTATCCCATGTTATTAAGACCTCCTTCTGACATACTCCAATCTCTTCATAGTCTAACTTCACTTTCCTGGACTGGAGTTCATCTCGTCTTGCTAAAAGACAAAACAAATTTAATAAGACCAATGTGTTTGAAAACAGTATTTTAAACATTTTACTATATTAATGCAATCATACTTAATAACTCTTAGGGATCAACCACTAAAATGAAAAACTTTTTTAAAAATTAGGACAATATAGAAGATCTAAATGACCTTAAGTCATTTTATATGACAGAATATATGCAATAATTTTCTAAGGAGGTACCCTATATCTTACACATAATAATTCTGCTAAGTATTAAAAAAAACCATATGGCTATGTCATAAACTTTAACTTTTTGACAAATATAATAGCCTCAGAAGTGACCGCTTACATCATTATAAACACCGTTAAAGTATTAATATTTCATATAGGACCTACGTAAGATGCTTCATGCTAACCTTGAAAAATATTTAACCATGCTAACCTCATCCATTTTTATATTTACAGAATTTCCCACACTGCCCTTACCAATATGCTTCACTGTTCCTTCTAATAATCTTTCCTTTTTCGCTTTTGGTGCTGGAGTTGGAATTCAATGCCCTGTGCATACCAAGCGCACACTCTACCACTGAGCTACAACCCCAGCCTGTATTTTCAATCATCTTAAAAATTCACTGTCACTGAAATTAACACTAATTCCACTTTTAAATAATACAGCACACTTTTTCATGTGATGAAAATGTTTAGAACTTTAGAAAAGGTTTATTAAAAGAACTGCCCACAAACCAATCACCATCTTGACTTGTATTTACACTGATTAATTGAGGACAAAGAGGAGAAGGAAACGCAGATACGTGCGCATACTTCCCTTCTTTCTTTAGGGTTCCCCTTACAGGACTCTCTCAGCATAAGCTTATGCCCTAACACTCCTTGAGCCTCCCTGGTCCCCTTACCTTCTGCAACACAAATCTCTGTTATGCTTCCAAAATCCTCGACAGCACAAAAGCAATAGCAAAACAAATGTTACTCTACTTAGTGTGTTTGAAACCAGTTCCAAAGGATTAAAATACTTCAAAAACAGTTCTTCAAGTAGGACAGCAAAAAATTCCTACTTATTAAAAGTCTAGATGTACTCAAAAAAGGAAGAGCACTACCAAAGTATTTCTCCTAGATACCACTAGATGGCTTTCTAACGCAGTTTAGCTTTGTTTCTCAATATATGCTTTATATGTCTCTATAATAACCATAAAATCTTTTTAAAGGGAGTAAGTTTACTAAAGCTAATAATAAACAATTCTGCATACAGCTTTACTAATGATTTGCTTCAAAGGGAGCAAAGCATATTTCCTTCTTTAGAACCTGGTCCACTGAAGACAATCTGAAATATCTACTTTATGCTACCATACGCCTTGAGGCTATCATGGTAAGAAGAGTTAATACTGTTCCTATCCTCAACTGCAAAGAACCCTAAAGAAATAATGATTATCTGCTTAGAATTTTAATAGGTTAAACTACTTCTGTCTTGGTTAGTTAAGTACAGAAGTATAAACAACTGATAAAGGTTTCTTCCAGTATATTCTAAACATCAGCTCTTTCCTTTCTTATACATTAAAATTATACAGTATGACTGACCTCCATGTAGACATATAGTCATTTCTATTAAAGCCATCTGTTTCTTTAACACCTATACCTGAAAAATAGGTGGCATATTCAGAAAAGCCCAAGAGCCAAGAAGAATAAACATAAGTCCCAGAACTTGTCCTGCTGGTCTGTCGCTGGCCTCAGGTTTAACTCTTTACCCTTTCTGAGCTACTCACTAAATACCGCAGGCTTTGGGATAAAGAATCCAGCTAAACAACTCCTAATGCATGTTCTCTTCAAATAGTCAATGATTATAAAACTAACCTTTGGTATTTAATATGATTTTTATTTTTACATACTCCCTACTGAAATATAATTTCATATTTTAGGTTTTTTTGTGAACCGGTAACCATACTTTTTCAACTATTTTTTCTGTTTATGAGTTAGTTCAAGATATAACCAACTGCTTAAAAATATAAATTCATTTCCTGCTGGAATTTCTGGAAACTTGAGTAAATATACAATTTGTCACGCAGAACTTTTAAGAGCCATGTCAATAACAATTAATTGAAGTTTTAATTTTAAAGAAAAGATTGATTTCTTAAGAGTACTTAACATTTATGGTCTTTATCTGCTAAAAAAAAACAGTAAGAACAAACACTTCCTTGCAAACTAAATATTGTTAACATTGATTTGAACAATAGGTGTAGTAACAAGAATCTTAACATAGATACTAAACTCAGAAATATGAATACCTATATTTAAAAAGCTTTTAGGAAGATAACAAAATAAAAGTCAGTAGGAGATCCTTAAAAGTCAAAGGATCCACTTAAGCAAAATAATTCATTTCACAGATCTAAAAAAACAAGGCCAGTTTGGTTAAGCTTTCATACATTGTTTTAGATTTTGGTACTGTCTAGGCGTCTTCCGTGGTTCTATCAATATTGTGGCAAACTGTAACATAAAAGGCTGAATACATTCTAAAGCATTTAGCATCAAAAACTTAGCAATCGCTACAAATTGCACAACAACTATTATAAATGATTTGATTATAAATTTATTGATGAATGATTTTTAAATAGAAAATTTATAAAACATTGACAAAAACTAGGAATTCTGATTTAATGACACATTTTTTATGATTAGTTGAAAAAGAAAATGCAAATAGATGAAACTGATCTTTCCCATGTCATAATCACTTCACAAAATGGAAATAAATAATTATCACCCACAGATAATCAAAGTTAAAGCATACACACAGTCCAAGAATAAGTGTGAGTTTGCATGTAGCATTCAGCTCTGTTTGAATAGCTAACCTTCAAGTTTCTGGTTTTCTTTTTCCATTCGTAGCAACAAGATTTGTTGATGTATTGCTTTTTTCCACAGACTCTTTAGTTCTTTTGATTTCTTTTTTTCTTCAACCTTTTCTGGGTCATCATCACTGGACAAGAATATAACCAGCGGTTCCTCCTCCATGGTGGGAGCGAGAGGGGACAGTGGCAAAAGCTCATTCCTGTCCAGTCCATCTGCAGTGAAGAAAACCGTGAGAGGCATTCCTTAGTAGTAACCCAGACTACAGAAGTTTTCTCTGGAATCAACACTCTCTCGTCTTAATTCTTCTACATTTAAAGGTGTTTACAAAGCCACTTTTCCAGTAACTATTAGTTTTGGGGACTAGTAAATTTACATAAATTCACTAAACTGAATTCCCCTTGTAGATTTCCCTCTTACAGTGAAACAAAAGCATATGTCATCTCACCACTTCTTCTTTCTACACCAAAAGACCTAGAAGAGGGCTGTTCCAAAATGAACTGGCCTTTCCAACACTTCCACAATTCATCTCCACATCTTCTGTGATTGTGCAAAGCACCCAACTGCACGGGTAGGTACAGTTTTTGTGATTTCCTTAGGATCCACGTCTACCAAGTGAGTCATCAGGGGGCAGCTGAGTAAGGCTCGGGCTTTCCTGGCTGAGCATCCAATGTCATTGCTCCCTCCCACTGCAAAGTCTTCTTAACTGATCTGGAGTTCATTCCTTCTCTACGCTGGGCCATTTCCCACATACCTCCAATTATTTTCCTATTCACAAACATGATCACATCTCTTAAAACTTCTCCATGACTGCTTCTAGCCCAGAGCACAAAGTGCAGGCTCCTGGGAGCCACAGAGAGATCCGTCCCACTCTGGCCTCACGTCCCTGCCCAGTCTCCCGTCTCACTCCCCACCTTCTACATTTAAAGGTGTTTACAAAGTCCTCTGACCCACGAAGTTCTCTTGCACAACTCTGAAACGTTGCTAAGATATGCATCCTCCTGTGATGAGTTTAAGTATTTAATTTTTTCTATGAAGCAGTTTCTGACTATCCCAGGCTGAGTTTCATCTTTAGTAATGCTAGTTGCGTTCTTTTTAGTTCTTTTTGTAATTCACCGACCTCTGCCCTTATTCTTATTTACCACCTCATGTTTTGTTGTCCTTTTCTAGCTTGTTGAGTTGACAGTACACTGGATTTTTGGCTCTCTTAGCTTTAGATGAATACATTTGTGGCTATGAAATGTTCTCTAAGTACAATGCGGTTGTGACATGCAGGGTATGGATCATCATACTTTGTTCTTTCTAGTTTCTAGGAGTAAGAAAAGTTTGAGAAAACATAAAATTTTTAAGTTGTCTTTTTTGTTTATGTTTTATTGTAATGCTAGGGATGAAACCCAGAGCCTTGTGTTGGCTCTGTAAGGACTCTACCACTGAAATACACCACACCCACCGCCCCCGCTGCTTGTTAATCCTTCCTTCCTTCCATCTGTCCATCCATCCCTCCTTCTATCCTTTCTGCCATCTTTCCCACTCCGATCAAAGAATATAGCAGACATCATCATTATTGTATGGACTATATTAAAATATCTTTTGGCCAAGTACATAATTAATTCTATGAATGTTTTATATATGCTAAAAATGGATGAATCTTCTCTCCAAAGGAAAAATTCTATATAAATATTAGATCAAGCTTGTTCCACTGTGCTACTCAAATATTTATTTATACAGTATTTAATTTTCCTATATTTAATTTTCAGAGAGGAATGTGTTAAAAACTCCCATGAGAACTACTGATTTTCCCCCTCAAAATCTTTTTAAGTATCAGGTCCTAGCTCTCAAGGGTACATAATAATGCATGTTCTCATCACTGTTATATCTTTTGGTTTAGATTATAGTCATCACTTTGGGTGTTTCTGCTCTAATTTCTAATACATTTAATAATTGAAGAAAGCTGCCATGCTCTTCCTTTTGGCTAATATTTACCAAGTGCAACATATGCAATTTTCATTGTTCAACATATCTATGTCACTTTCTTTTATATGTAACTTTTGCAAAAGATTGTATTCTGTATTGCTTCTCTAATAATGAAAAAAATCTGAATTTTTTCTAGCTCTACATAGTTCCCTATGCATTATGAAATAGGCCCAAAAATAGGTTTTGGAAACTCATTCATTTATTCATTCAACAAGCAGGTACTAAGGTACTGAATATCTAGTGTGTTCTAATGATACCTGAGAAGAAAACCAACCACAGCAGACACAGAAAGAGAAGTTGTGCTTTCCTATCTAATCTCTTAAACCTCTTTTGAATCAACCATTTCTATTCCATTCCCTAATTTGGACACAACCAGGAGAAATTCTTTAGTGGTTACCACACAGACCTTGGTGCTGCATTGCCGAGGGAGACTTATTCATGGGAGATGCAACCCGCAGGAAAATGCGCTGCCGCCAGGAAATTCTGCGAGGAGTGACAGGCGTTCCCCCAACATTCAACGACTCGTTGCTGCAGGTGGATGAGGTCCGTTTCCTCCCTTCTCCATCACTGCAGAATGCCAACGGACATTTAATTTGTAAGGAAAGTTGTGTAACACAGCCCTTCACAACCTAATGGTAGCACACAAGCCATTCACAAGTTCTGCCATGGGCAAGCACAAGGCGCAGGCGACACGGAGCAATGTGTCACTAACACATTGGTCCCCCAGGCCATCGCATCCTGGGAAAACTGCAATCCAGGCCACAAGCTCAGTCTTGCTAAGCTCACCTGTTTCTACTCATTCCTTAAGCAGTCCTGGTTCTAATCTGAAGAACAGAAGTACTTGTACTGAGTAGTGGAGGTTAGTTAAGTAATGAACTTGTACTTTGCCAAAGATGTAAAGTAACAGTTTGTTCTACACAATGTAAACAGTCCACAAAATGACCAGAAAGAGCTTTTCTTATAGCTGGCATAGACTAACCTGGTAAAGACAGTTTCTGTCTGCAACTTGTTATGATCTGTCTATAATTGTTAGCTATTAGTAGCTGGATCACAGCAAAAAATAACCTGAAAATATGCAGGACAGTCAACCCTGGGGTTATTGTTAGGAAAATTAAGGAGGAAAAAAGATTGTATAAGCTAAGTTAAAAAAAAAAAAATTAACCAGAATTCTTTTTTTTTTTTTTTTTTTTTTTTTTTTTTTTTTTTTTTTGGTTTTTCTCCGGTACCAGGAACTGAACTCACGACCTTGCACTTGCCAGGCAGGCACTTTGCCGCTGAGCTAAATCCCCAGCCCCAACCAGAATTCTTTACAGCAGAACTTCTTAAAGACTGTTTAATGCTGGCCTGCACTGGGACTCTCTATCAGGGAAATACTGTATAGAAATTCTTCAACTTAGTTCATACAATTGACTCTAGACTCATTAATCCCGATGTTTTTAAGGGAGTAGGGTATGCCACATCATTCAACTATAGTGCTTTGTAAAGCTCACATGTGAAAATACTGATCTGTTCTAAGAATCTCATTTCCTAAGAAAGACCATTCTAAATGATGCTAAGCCTATGTGCAATAAAAGGTCATTATGACTAGGATGGTTTAGATTTAAAATGTCCAGAGCCTCTCATGTGTTCCAAGGTGGAGTTTTCAAAGGGTGATTGGATCATGAGGGCTCTAACTTCATTCACAGATTAATCCATTGATTAGATCATCACCTGATGGAATTATTGGTAGGTAATAGAACTTAGGAAGTGAAGCCTAGTTAAAGGGATTGGGTCATAAAGTATAACCTTGGGGATTATATCTGACCCATGGCCCATTCCTTTCTGGGTCTTTCCCTCTGTCTCTGCTTCCTGATTGCCATTAGGTGAGCAATTTTCCTCTACCATGTCCTTCACCATGATATTTCTGCTTCACTATAAGCCTAGAAACCAATAAAGCCAAGTGACCATGAACTGAAACCTCTGAAACAGTGAGCCGGAATAAATCTGTCTTCTTCCCTTAAATTGATATTCTCAGGTATTTTGTCACAGTGACAGAACATTGACTCAAAGTTATTTTTGAGACCCAGGCTGTCTGCTGCTACAGAACATACAATAATTGTTGTTCTTAGTGACAGGAATATTTTATCTTTTTAAATTTCACAGTCTGTGAGCTTTCCTGAGAGAATGTGAAAATGTCAGCACATACACAAGTGTGATAATAACCACAAGGGAAGGTGTAAGATGTCTGATGGAATCAAGAAGTTCCCTACTTAGGTCAGAAATGAAACTCCACTAGAAAAGCCACAAGCCTCCCAGACACTTATAAGAACTCAACAGTGCTGAGATAATTAATATAAAGAGAGCAATTCAATATTACCAGCCTGTTACATTTTTATTTATTCTACATTTTCATATTTTTAGCTATCAAGCAGTCTTTATTTCTAGTCTAGATCTATTCTATTAGGAATATCACTTTTGGATTAGCTAAATTAAGGGTAAGAAAAGGATATGTCCAGAAGCTGATATCAAAGTAGCAAATATCATGCTATGCTATACAATTTTGGAACATAGCTGATGCATATATTTCAATATAGTGACACTCCTCTGTTATGTATCCTGGATAAATTATAACCCTATTAGCTGTCCAAGGTCCCTATAATACTAAATAAACAGGTGTGCCTTTATGTCTACTTTGAAAGCAGTGATTTGAGTATTTCCCTTTAAGTATCTGTGATTCAAGTGTTCTCTATACAGTAGGTATATCTTGATAAATACTTGCGGAATATTCTGTATCTCCATTTGCATAACACTATGTCATGGGAATTATTTGTTAAATACTAGATCAGGAGTATATTGCAGCAATATGTAGCATTATAGTGTACTTCCAGTATAGTACCAGTAATGGGCAAATAAATATTCAACAAATAATCACTGAATAAATTAATACTTTATGAAACCATATGAAATATTAACTCAGAAGCTTAAGTAAAATGGACAAAAACTATTGGCTGCACTAACACATCAGGAACAAGTAAAAGATCTATGTTCTTTAAACCCTTTATGGGTAGTCACAACTGTAAGTCTTTCTGGCAGAAAGTTCTAGAAACTCTGTTTCCTCAAAGTACAGACTGAGCTGCCGGTGGCCTTGGTAGATATCCACAATGACAATGCTGTTAACAAACAACAAAAAAGCATCCTTTCATTAGTGTCATTCCTGCCTTACAGGATAGTATCTAATTTATAATTTATGCTTCAAAAGCTAACTGAAATACTCATATTAAAGCAACTTAGAGGGTAACTATTCAGTAAGTATTAGTTTCTCTTTACACTTTTAGGAGTTCTAGTAAACAAACCAAACCAAAAGATTCTGAAATGTTCATATTTTAATGCTGGAATTAAAACATCTTTTAAAATATCACTTTCCAATTCACTGTTAATGGCATACAAAGTGTTTAGGAAGTACTAAAAATAAAACTAAGGAGTACCCATATCAGTTCCATTATTGCCTGTAAAATATAAGATTTGGGGGGAAATATGTTAAAAACAAATGCAGAAAATACCCTGATATTTGCCCACTCTTACATATTTTAAATTTTCATTACATATAAATTTTAAACCCTATAATTCAAATAAACTAGCAAGTGACAGATTTTTTTCCTCCACATATGTGTAATTTAATGGCCAGTAATAGCCAAAATTTAGCAGTCAAAATATAAGAACAATATATCAAAAGGAAGAACTTACATAATAGACTGGTGACCCTTTATCTTGTACTAAAAAACTACTTTGTGAAAAAAAGTTTAGTTGCTGAGATAAGGTGAAAGCTGCTCTGCTTCGTTTACTTCGGGAAGTATTCAGAAGTTGGGTTCCTGATAGTGCAACCTAACAGCAATTCAGCATCTCCCAGACACTTGGCCAGCAATCTGACACTCTTAAGGTGGTAATTTCAAGAACCAAGGCTTTATGGAACATACTGTGCACTGAAATTCCTATATCCCAACTTGGACACTACTCAAGCATAGGCACAGTAGGGTATTGGCTTTATTTCTGGTTTTATTCTGCTATTAATTTTCACTTTAACTTTTTTCATTAAACTGAGCACACAGACCAAGGGTAATGCCTACTTTCTCAGTGAAAAGAGAACAAAACAGCGTGTGCTGTATACTATAATAATAATGCCAGAGCAGGACGTGGTGGTGCACACCCGTAATCCCAGCACTCTGGAGGCTGAAGCAGGAGGATTGTTGCAAGTTGGAGACTAGAGTGGGCTACAAAGTGAGTTTAAGATAACATGAACTGCATAGTGTGACTTGTCTCAAAATGACAAAAAATAAAAATAAAAAAAAATAATAATAATAACGCTCACTAAAAGCACATACTGCATGCCAGGCATTGTTCTAACTATTTTACAAGTATGAATTAATTTCATCCTCACAGCAACCATACAGAGTAGGTGTTATTACTATTCCCATTTCAAGTGGGAAAACTGAGGTAGAAGAAGGCTAAGTAATTCTCCAACAATCACAAAAGTGGTAAGTGAAGGAGGAAAGACACAACCCAGGAAGTCCACAATCCAGACCCTTGGGCACCAGGTTTTATTATGTTGATGTAAATACTCTGCATTAGTTCCTACAAGATCTGTAAGATCATAAACCCAAAGCTGTCACAAGTCCCAGGATTTTCTGTATTTTGATAGAAAATTCAGTCTCTAATTACCATTAAGTCTTTTGGTTGAGTATTTTTCTTTCCTTTTTTTTTGGTTTTTCTCCAGTACCGGGAACTGAACTCACGACCTTGCGCTTGCCAGGCAGGCGCTTTGCTGCTGAGCTAAATCCCCAGCCCCTTTCTTTCCATTTTTAATGGAATAATTTAAGTCAGCAAAAAATAAGATCAAGCCCTCTGAGGTGCTTTATTTCTGTAAATGTCTCACTTTTGTTGTTTGCTTTGAAATAAATGCAATTTAAAATATAGATATTTATTTATTGATTTTCAAGACAGGGTCTCACTCTGCAGTTCAGGCTGGCCTGGAACTCACTACGTAGCCCAGGCTGGTCTCGCTCAAACTCACACTGATCCTCCTGCCTCAGCCTCCTGAGTGCTGGGATTACAGGCATGCACCACCACGCCTGGCTATAGATATTTTAAATAGAAGTAGTAAATACAAGACACTTTAGTATAAAACATACATATATTGGAATTATGATCAGCTTTACATTTCAAAGTAATAAATTCTAACTATTCCCTTATTTTTCCATATACCCTTTTGCCTCCTTCTATGGTATTTTGGAATATGAAGACATACTTTATAAAACTGCTTGCTGGGAAGCAGGCACATTTACGAAAATTACTTTGCTAGCATTTCTTCTATTTGAAACTTATGAAAGTAAAAGCAAATAACTAAGAAGCAAATGCAACTCACACACATTTTTTGTGTTGGTATATTCTAAATGTACTGCCAACCAATAACCACAATCCGTAAACACAACTGTTGGGCTTGTAAGAGGAGAAAATATCTCATATTATGTAAATCACCATGTAGGATGAGAAGGCTATTTCCAAGTACTCTCTACACAGCACTGACCAAAAGC